TGCCATTAATCGATCTTCTAGATTTTTATACAAGCTGTTGAATAGAATACTGCAAACTGTATACCTACTAAATGATGAAAGAATGTATAGGTACATAATGACTTCTAAAGCTAAATATTAAAATGAAAGTGGAGAATATGAAGACCACGTCACACAAGTTATCTGTCAGCCTGTAAACATTTACACGCAAATTAAAACAATAAAATCCTAATGGTTTAGCAAAAGGGGCTGAAAATGTACGGCAAAGAAAACCAAAAAGAGTACTTACAATATTTTATTATATCAAAATAAAGTATTTTTATAGCATTGGGTGACAAACAAGCACACAGTCCGCCTCGATTCCAGGAAATCGGGTCTCCTGTTCTCTACATTCACCATACGAAACACAGTAGCATTACGCTGCTATTTTACGCTGATATTCTGTGAGAGCATGGTCCTGCCCCGGTCGAGCCGGGTCGGCTTCATGCTACAAATATAATATAGCTGCAGCTTGGCTCTACCACGTAAAAATTAATTAATTAAATTGCTACTTATTGTATTAAGAAGGGCACTTCACTCTGTATCAAATCGCAGTAGTAAAGTACGTCTTCCTAAATCAGTTATGAAGTAAAAAATAATTTGTGTACAAAAAAGCAATTATGTTTAAATTGAGAATACACTACCGTCAATGGCCAAAAATATAAAAAAGGCCAAAATAATAACCATTGGCCAAAAGTACAAGGTAAAACCCACTTGCCTATTCTACCGCCTTATAGAAGTATATCTTGTGTTCTGGTTTCAAACGTAAAAAATCCAAATAATTCAATAAAAGGAGATGCGTCACAATCACAGGCTGGCAGACAGAGGCATTTCATTTTAGTTCTCAGGGGTGACAAACTATATGTTACATTCTTTATTTAAAGTTAACATAGTCACTTTATCATAAGGCGGACGGTTAATTTGCACGTCACTCTTAAAAATTTATACATAGCTTTAACTTTTAAACATATTGTGAAAAAACTTTAGCATTTAAACATATCTTATAAAACTTATTGTATAGGAAAGGAATGTAATTATGCTAATAAAGTTTATTTATTTATTTATTCATTTATAGTCTGTATTTGTCTGGCTCTGGATTCGCCCTACTCTTTATACCAAAACACTACAGCGTGTGCACTGCTACTTGACAACAGAAATAAATAAGATGGTACTACAGTAGTTGCAACATGGCTCTACCACGTATAAAACTACTGTTTATATGCGTTTAAAACAACGTTTCTTAAATGAAATTGTGGACTGTAACTGTAGATAAACTATACTATAAGGCAGTCATATCACTTAACAGGAATAAAGTGTAGTCCAAGTGTATAATTTAAACAAAGCGTCAAAAATCAAAAGAAATTTAAAGCAGGTTAGCCGCATTTTTGCGTATGATTATTCTCAATGCTATACTAAAAAGCAGTTAAGGTATACTTAACGGCCTTTTATTTTGTAATTAATATTCAAATATAATGTTTCTATACTTACGTTAACTACATTTTCATCATCAATCAATCAACCACCCGGAAGTATGCCGCGAGTGACCGCGTCGTGCGATAACAAACCTGCCAACAGTTATTATTATTGTTATGATTATTTTTAAATACTATTATTATTATTGTTTTGAGTGACCGCGCCGTGCGATAACAAATCTGCTACTAATTATTATTATTGTTATGATTAATATTTTAAATACTATTATTATTATTGTTTTATTGATATTATTATAATTATTTATTATTATTAATCTTAAAATTATTATTAAAGATTGGCCTTAAAGATGTTTAACAAAGGTGAATTAGAAACATTTGTTTGTTCATTCAGCAGTGTATAATTACCATTATTACTTTTTAAAATCTCCAACTGCTCCAGCACACACAGTCGCAGCCCCTTATTACAGGTATGTAAGACTTCAAAGGAATGGTCGCTAGCTAGGTTGTGTCCAGTGTCCAAGAGATGTTTAGCAAAATGGGATTTATCAGGATTGCAATTTCTGTACGCGGCCATATGTTCTTTATAGCGCGTCCCGAAATTGCGACCAGTCTGACCCACGTAAACGGCGTGGCATTCGTCACAAACAAGTTTATAAACACCCGTTTTTTGACTAATATTTAACTTATCTTTATTATTACAAATATTCCTAAGCGAATTGTTTGTTTTGAATGCCACGTTAACGCCGTTTTTCTTAAGACTATTAGCTATTTTTTCCGATATGGGGCCTAAGTAGGTCAAACTACCCACATACCGCCGGACACTTTGAGATCGAACCGCGTACAAAGAATTGCGAACAACATGCTTTTGTTTCTTTTTAATAAGATTATCAACGAGACTTTTTGAAAATTTTTTTGAAAATTCTTATTTTTTCATTATAATGGTCAAAGTAACGCCTGATTCTACCTATATAAAAGTAATTCAAAAATTCAAAATATAATGTCATTTGATTATATAAAAAGAAAAATATCTCTTTTTCAATATTTGAAATGAAAGAAGAGATCCATAAAAATATTTTTTGTAGAAAAGTACCAGTTGTTTTTTACATTTTCAATAATTACAATTAAGCGAGACTAAATTACTCAGTGATTTTTAAAAGAACCTGTGCGTTGAGATTCTAAAGCTAATAAAAAAGAATTATTTTGACACATTAATTCTAACGATCGTAATCGTGGCCATCCACACATACTGATATCTGGACACCCTCAAAAATGTTTTTTTCATTCAGTTTTTTTTTACACTAAACAGAAAATTACTTTTAAAAATAATAGAAACATGAAAACGAGTGATTTTTCTCGATACATGTGTATTTTTATTATTCTAAAACTGCAATAGTAAAAAAATTAAGACATTTTTAACTCAGAAAATTACTGGATTTCCATTAGGTGAGAGTAGAGCACAACCTCAAGGCTTCGCTTGTGAGGCGTGCAAAACTGAAGGTAGCAGGGCTTACTAATCCATCGGGGCGTTAAACACTTCAGACGCCCCGTGACCATGAGTGCTGCAAAGTATCCGAAAAACCGGGAATTTAAAAGTTAAATTTAACGCGATAAAATTCGTAAAAATTAGTTTTGTTTCATAAGAGTCGCGGGTTTGAAGCCCTCACGGTACATGTGTTATATGGCATAAAAATAATTGTGCAACTCAGACGGAATGCTAGCCAGGAACGTAGCTCCTAATATATTAACTTCTTTGGTTAATTTGAAATAAATGTAGTTTTATTTCCATGAGATAAGGTATAACTTTATTCATAAAACTTTATTAAGTAAAGGAAATTAAATTTTTAGTTTTTGGCCCCCGAGAACAATAAGGATAACATTTGTTCAAATCAAGATTTAATTTAATGAGTGATTTGTAAAACGAATACCGAACTTTGGAAGACATTTGTGATTGGATACAGTAAGAAAAGATATTGAATTGACTAGACCTAACAAAATCTAACAGTACGAAATCGTAGAAATCATATGTCTTCTCTAACATTAAGCTACTAACGTAGAAGTTATATAAGTTTTAATCGTTTTGTTTGTCCGTGAGTTTATTAGAATACTTCTTAAGCATAACTTTACTTAACTCTGCTTTTTATATTTAGTTACTTTTATTACTTTTTTCCTATTAGACTCGAACAATTATTGGACTCGAACACGTATAGAGCCGATTTATACGTATAAAAGTTCACATAATTTTCGTTTTAAATTTCAAAAGTACTTCAAAATTTCCAAAAACTTTTGATTCTAGTCTTACTAAATTTCTTTTCATCAGCCCGTGAAGAGAAGCGGAACTTACCCAGTAAGGTATTGTAAATGGCTTGCCAGGTTTTAGTCATCGCAGTATCTGACGTGGCACCGTTGTTGCTGCTTCGCATTGCCGATGTATATTTTACATCTGCTTTAACTACTTGTAAGATAGGTCAGTAATATTCCTGAGTGGTTTCTTACGATACACATAAAACGAGATTAGATGATGTATTCTCATCACACGGCAGAATCTTATTGCCTAAAAAGTGGCTACACCTTTGTTATTATCGTAGACAATTGTATGACTACAGTAGTCTAATATGTAGAAGATGGATTACAAACTTAAAAAGTCGTGGATTATAATCCACCATTACACAATGATTCCTAATAAAAGCATTGGAAGCTTAATCAGATCCTTTAATGAAAGTGTTGGTAATGTCTAGATCTAGAACTCTTTTTTGTCTTCCAGTCCACCTGTGTAGGTACCGCTTTCTTCACCTCCTTCTGCCGCCAATAGCAGTTCTTGTACTGCTGTTTTCTAATCTAAAGAGTACCGAGAGTCAGTAAAATTACTTAGTCCTCAGAGGAGAGAACACATTTATGTCTGTAGTTGTCTGCAGAGCGCATGGACTGAAATAGTCTCTTACCATCAGGTGGACTGGTAATTTTTTCATCGCTTCTGGTTTATAAAAAATTCAATTGTAAATAAAACTTGACATTATTAGCTTTATGAATCTAAACTGACTAATAAACCCATGTCTTGAAAGATTTTACCACTTTTCTATCTGCAAATCTCTTTTGTTCTTTTTTATCTGCTGAACGATGTCTTTTGTATTTCTAAGATCGTTTAAATTTATAACAAAGTTACTCTTCAGTATTGTCAGGTGTTATAGCATTAAGCCCATTAACTAGAGATGTTTCTTTGCTACAGTGTAGTGTTGTGTTAATAGTACTTTATATTGCTTGTCGATTTATCTTCTTATTAAAGACTGCTGTTTAACATTTTATTAATGCTGCTAGGCTACTATTTGATTCTTATATTGGATAACTTTTCTGTTTAACTGTAAAATTAATGAATCAGCTGATAAAATGGACTAAGTAAAATGACTTTAAAATGACTTTTGAATGAAGCATTTAACATAGAATAAATTTTACTAACATAGTCTCCTGTTGCTAATTTAGTTTTCTGATCTCGTTATTTTCCATCCTTATCACCAATACGTGAATTAAGCAACTAATGACTCTAATGGTTTACAGATTGTTTGAAGAAAACCAAGATCTTCTTCACATGTTTGAGAAGTTTCGACAATACAGGACAAAAGAAGAGCAGATCAATTCTACGGAGCTCGCTGAGCATGCCAACAATGTGATGAACACACTGGATGAGGGTATTAAGGGTCTGGATGACTTAGACAATTTCTTCGCTTATATCCACCAAATAGGCGCCAGCCATAGAAGGATACCAGGATTTAAGGTCGAATATTTTTGGGTGAGTTCATTTAATTATGCTGTTTTATTAATATAATGAAAATAAAAAAAAATTATAAACAAATGCCCGACCTCTTGCTATTTTTTAATAACGTCAAACTAAAGTGTTATTTCAAAATTTGGAATAAGAAAATACAATATTAATTAACAGATGGAAGATAATTAACAGGTATTTAAAAACTTTAACTTTGTGTTGTTGCATAAATCTTTGAAGAATATTAATGGTATTTTTTTTTGAAAAAAAAATACTTTTTGTAAGTATTTATTTGAAAAAAAAAAAAAGAACATTTATACTTACACTGCCGTCAGTCATATTTTGTATGCTACAATAGCCAACGTATTGGTGAATAATACTTATTTAGTATCATTAATTTACAGTATAGTGGCAGTGTAAGAATAAACACTACCCCATATCATACCGTGGGTACCGTAACCGGCGACAGAGGGAATCAAATCAGGAAATGGGCAGCAACGTCTTCTTAGTAACGACTGAAAATTAAAAAGACTGCGATTGACAACCCGCTTGCCATGCTTGATGACTATGGCAAATATCCGCAGTATGAATCAATCTATAGGAAAGACCTTCAACAGTAGACTTTAGAAGGTTGTAAGGGTTATCGTCTTCTGAATACACGACCTGCCTCCATCAATTATGTAGAGTATAAATTCTTTGAGAATAAAAATCCTTACTTTAAATTTGAAAAATACATTCAGGTTCTCTTCAATACCTTTACGATTTACAAATTACTTGTCATTCAAATTATTCTTCAGTGACCGGAAAAAAATTAAAATCTGTCGACCCGAGATCCAACATAACCGTAATGATATTTCCCAGTTAAAATGTAATAACTAGTTACGTATTTTTGTATACGTGTGATCAGATAAACGTAGTTACGTTGTAAAGGCCTATCCTTTAGGTTACCTACCTTTATATTTATAGGCTAAACGCTGTCTCTGTTCAAGTTATCGAGTTTTTTAAGGTAGTTATTCAATCATAATTACTACGAGTGGGCATTACCGCATTCCACCAAACTCAACACATAATTTTTTCTTGAGTATGTCTGAGTTTCAGGTTTTATATGCTTTATCCATTCACTGTCTATTGTATAGCGGTAGAATTCACATGACCTATTACCCATAACTGGATTGTGCAACCAAACTTTAGTTCTATAGCAAGAGTATCAGAAGTCCACGCGTAACTGTCGTTGTTCTTTCTACATTGTATACAGAACCCAATAACATAACTTCCATACAAAACCTAACGCAGCTGGATGTTGAGCTTTGGTGGTGAAATCAACGTCTGAGATACGTTCTAACTATCGAGTATTAAGATATGAACTCTCAATAAACTGGAGTAATCTTTCATCTAATACAAATACACGACCGTACTGAGGTTTGTCTTTGTATTTGAACCATCCCTGTTTAAATTTATTAAACCAATCGCTCACTGTGCTTTGACTTATCACCTATTCACCACATACTTAGATGGACTAGCCTTAAGGATTGAACGAAAGTCGCAAGTATGCAACAGTGTAGTCGTTTACGACTAATTTTCTGTTACTCTGTAGAACAGAACTGTACAATAATAACCATTCCAGACAATGTTTTCATAAATGAACTCGTAATTTTTTACAATCTAAAGTAACGTTTACAATAGATGATATAAAAGATGTAAACGTTACTTTAGCAGATGTTATAGTAGCCTAATGGTAGGGTTCCCACTGAAAACTTTCTGGGTTCGATTTTTGCCATTTGTCTACTGTGGTGAACCACTCTGAACACAAGCAATTTTAGGACTTCTTTTGTGATAAAGAATCTTCTTTAAATCCGGGATAATCAATTAAACCACGTTTGATAATAAGACCGCATTAGTCTGTTAAAACGCATCGTTAATCTTCAGGTCGAGAATAATACCATTTGATATGATAAATTATTTCTTCAAGAAATTTTGTTGCACTCGATCTAATCGACAAAATTGACTTTACATATAACTATAAAAAATCTCTCTGTGTTATTGAGTCGAACTCCACAAAATTACATAAAATTTTAAAAAGGGTAACAAAATTAGAAAAAGGTTCTATTCACACTTAACACTCAGAGAAAATATTTATAAGGGTTCAACCCAACGTGATAAAGCTCCGGCTTAACACTGTAATCAGATTAGGCAAAGACAAGTTGTTTAAATTTAAATATAGTTAGGATATAAGCCTATTTAACTCTTGCCTTGAAATCAGATGGAAAGACAGATGCTAGAAAATTAATCCACTAATTTGCTGTACGAATTACGAACGATGAAGGAAGCTTTATGGTTCGAATGCATAGTAAAGCGACAACAAAAGGAAAGCGATCAGTCGAGCGACAAGTTATCCGAGGATGGAATGGATATTCTTTTTATAGAGTAAGAGTGATAAACGAGCATGCACACATAGGTGGATGCTGTAGCCCATTGACATCTCATCTACATCTATACTCAGTAAGGAATCAAAATAGAGATGCGTTGTCAACCCAAAGATGGAATGTCTCGTTTCCAGTAAAAGGGGTCTCCGGTTCTATACACTCACCATACGAAACACAGCATCATTAAGCTGCTATTTTAGGCTGGTATTCTGTGAGAGAGTGGTCCTTCTGCGGTCGTGCCGACCCATTCGTGCTACAAATATAACATACCTGCAACATGGATCTAACACGTACAAAAAATGGAAAGATGAAGAAAGTTTTTAATACCGTTTTGACAAATTTCACGTTTAGAATTTTATCAATTCGCTAGATTTTTTATAATTAACCAGATAGGTATGTAAACGTATATAGTGGTAATTAAATAGATAAAACTTATTTATTTACCGTTGGCAGTAGATGTCAATGGACAACAGTAAGCCGTTACCATCAGGTGAACTGCAAATGCTTTAAACACATCAGTTTTTTAGAAGAGAAACTCGTCCAAACTCGTCGAAAGCGCTACTAATTTAAACTAAAGTAAATTTAAATTCATCACATCTAATAGAGAAACATAGAAGTACGAGTTGACTGAAATTATTATCTTTGCTTCGTTTAAAGGGAAGCCTTAATGAAAAGCAAACAAGCTTTGTTGTCAACAGACTAATCAAAATTCAACAAGAAACTATCAGTTATAAACGGATTCACTAAATAAACCATTTCCATTGAAATAGAGGATGAACTCAACTGAACCGTGTTATTCAGTAATGATCCAACCGACAATCTGGCCAAACTAATTATCCAGAGGTTTGTCTTTAGTTTATTTCCAGTTGTAAAGACTTCTGAAAATTATTAAGTAAACCCGAAACCTCCATTAAATTTTCTTTAAAATGATATACATAATATGAAACAACGAGGCTTCTGAAATAAGGAAAAATAATTTATCTTACAATCTGAATAATATATATATTTTTTTTTATTGCATGTTTTGTGGATTGAATCATTTCTGCGCCAAGTCTAATTTATATCGTTAAATTAACTGGTCCGGTAGATATTCTTCTGTCTTGTTCATAAGGTAGCGCGAAGTTTGGAGGTTAACTATAAATTCATTCTGCAATATTTTTTTATTTCAATTTTCACAGAATAAATAAAAAAAATTACTAGGGCGCAGTGCCTCCTATCGGGTCAAAATGTTGTAGTTCCATTTTTTGTTATATTTAAAAATATAATATACCATGAATATAAGTTTTTTTGTTCTATAAAAATATAGGATTTGTTAATCATTTCACTACAGTGCCACTGATAGGATCATAGCATAAATTCAATTCATTGTTTCGATAAAACAAATATATGATATGAATATGACCTCAATCGATTTAAGTCGTTTAGGAGTTACACATATTAAATTAAATTATTTAATTAATTATGAATTAATTAAAAAAATTGAGTTAAGCATTAGAAATTTTTGACAATTACTTTGCCCTTTGCCCTTGAGCCTGTGACCCTGCGAAGTGACGAGGTCAAAGATCTCTACTAAATTTATTGTTTTATTGCCGTTCGTAAAGTAGCTTGGATATGATTTGAATTTAGATAGATTTTAATTAATTTATTTATTTAATACAAAATGTTGTTTTTATTTTTTGTAAAATATCAGTGCCGTAGTTCACATGTTACTCCCTATTTTTTACAGACGGTAAAAAAGGTCATTCAGTATAATATAAAGATAATCCAAATGCGTTACGAGGAAAATAATGAAGGGGAATAGAAAAATGTTTGCATCAAGTGCGAACTTAATTTGCCCGCGTTGTACCTCTAGTACTGTTTAGGCTCTAACAAAGGAGTGATGGTAAAATTTACCGAAGGCGCTGAAGCTGGAGGATAATTTAAACCTTTTCATTGTAACGTTCTATGTATATTAGTCCTCAGGAGTGACAACAGATTTTGTATTTTGGTTATTAAATTATTTGGTTGTTATATTTTTTTTTCTTATTTTCAAATTAAATATTATAATTCAAAGTATATTACAAAAATTATAATAATGAACTTAACTAAAATAATAATTAAAATTATAATATTTACGATTAAAACTAATTATATACAATATAAAAGAAGAAACTATAATATAGAAAATCTAAAACTAAAAATTTTAATAGTCAAAAAGACCTGCTCCCCGTGGTATAGTGCCAAGAACGTTGGCTGCGTTCCCTCGCTGAATAGCTATACTTAGCCTTTGAGCGAGGAAAGAACCAGCCCTCTTATCACCAGCAGCGACGACCAGTCGTGGATACAGTTCCTTTAGAAATTTCCACGAACCGACAGTCTCTACAGCAAATGGCACAAATATGTAGTCATTTCTCAAAGACTCATATTTGCGCCATTTACTAAATTCGGCTGCCTCTGATGCCCCCCGGCTCTAAAAGAGGTACCCTTGAGATGAGAGGCCGCCAAAGTGTCAACGCAAGTAGCATCCCACACTAGGGCTTTAACCTCTCTCCCAAGGGACCAGTCATACCGTTGGGTCTCCTGCCATCGTCTCTAAATATCCCGCAGGGCTCTAAAACCGAGGGG